CAAGTGTGTAATGTCCTCTAATAGAATTTTTATGGGAATTTCCAGAAAACACCAAAAAAAGGCCTTTCAAGAAACTTCCGGCAATATTGTCCATCCTAACGCTTCTGTTTGGAGGCAGAGAAGTGATCACCCAGGGGTATTAGACCTGCTTTCCACCCGAGGATGTCGGCTTGATGTGATACCAGCTTCTCTACTACAGCTACTTCTCCTTCGCCACCGAGGGATAAAATCAAGGAAAACAAAGATCTATGATGAATTGAGACCTCTGCCCTCCTCTGCCCTTAAGGACCTACACTGTGTTCGTCTAGTCCGCAGACAGTCACATTTATCAATAAACATACTTTCACCATTTGTAAAGATACCAACCTCGCCTTTTCCCGACATCTGTGGTACCAGTGCCACCAATCGAACCTTCTGATTTGCTCTTGAACAGAACCGACAGATCATCGCCATTTTTCTAGCCCAGCATCGTTCCAACAGTGCTCGGTAAAGGCATGCCGATCCCAGGACTGACTGAAAAATTGCGTTCCATGGATGTTTATCGTTGGAACCCGAATCACATTTTCTTTGGAAGAAGAGAAATCTATGAATAGCCAGTACTTCAACCTACACTTTCATCCGGATAAAGGAATCGCGACGGCTGAATATGATTCTCGAAGTTTATTTCGGATATCGGTTTGAAGCCTAATAGTACAATACCTAAACAAAAAAACTACAAATCCTCACGCGAACGATGATTAACCAGTAAAAGATACCCTTTTATGGGAGAGTATGCTTCGCATCCCGTGTGGGAGATGTGGGCTGAGACTCCAATGAATAAGGGATCCTAGCAGAGGTAGCAAAAGTGAGTTTAAAAGGGTTGCTAGAAGTGCCTCCTCCCAATATCCCATTTCCAAGCCATGCCAACTTGACTTGTAATCGCAGAACAACACCTGCCGGGATACTTCAGATGAATAGACTCCGGAGGTATGTGATGACGAGCCACAGAATCAGTCTCACGGAAATTCCACCCTCCCCGCTCCTCTTCGAATTCGGAGTAATAATTGTGTCGAGTGTTCCCGTTGATTTCAGCACGTTCCTGCAACGTCAGCTTCCCAATTTTCCGCCTTCACCCATACTGTGCGCGCCACCATTATGGCAGTGGACATTATTGGATGCAACATTACCGAACTGTATAATAAACTTTACTTATTTTTCAACTTTTATTTAACTTTTGCTATTTTTTCTACTTCTCAATTTAATTTATTGGAGCGTATTATTCTTCGTGCAAAAAGAGACCAAACCTTTGGCATCAAATCTTCCCAGCTCTTCAATCTCGGACTGCTCGCTCACAATACATTCTCCACCAAGTTTGATGGCTTTTTTGAGTTCGAATTTAGCTCGAGTACGGTCTTCTACTTCTTTTTCTGCAAAGAAGAACTTTTCGAAAAAAAAAACAAATCATCCTTAAAATTATAAATTAAAAATAAGTGAGCAGGTCGCGTTACGCTTACCAAGCCATTTTGTGTCCTCCAGCACATCAGAAATAGGTTCATCTTTAACATCGGTGTCTCCGCCTGACATGTGACGATGCCGTTGTGATGCATTCTGAAAAACATCCCAATACCCAAACATTTTCACGTGGAACATTCTCACATAGCACTTATTCTATTGCGAAGACGATCGAAGCGAAAAAAAGCAAAACGTAGAAAAATAATAGGAGAAAATATATGAATTCAAGAGCATTGAAAGGAAATTGACTTGAAATCCGCAGCCAAACAGATAAAAAATCGAAATGGATTCGCCAGACGTCGGCAGATGACTTGAATTCCTCATCTCTAATTCCTCATCTCTCAGTGAAAAAAGCAAAATTTGTTCCAGACGGATATGGTACAGTACATCAGCCCAGGCCCACTTCCCTCCTGGGTCGGTTAACTGGAACCAGACTCGTCTGGGAGGATAAAAGTACTAACTGGAACATCAGCTTGGCACCGCAGTTCATAGTATAGGCCACATACGCATCCGAATGCGTCCCACATTCTAAATGGAGGCCGCTTGCGGGGACGTATTCCGTCCAGATGGGACTGGTACCGATCAATGACCCCGTTGGAAGAAGGAAGAACTGATTGGTCAAGGTGGTATCGATAGGAGATCCAAACCGCGGTCCATGCAAGTGTAATAGTTAGCCCCTTGTCACTGCCACCTCTTCTTCCCAGTCAATCTTCACGCATGCTCTTTGATTTTCGCTGATATTTTAAAAAAATGTTTTACTACCCCAAGAACGTCTACAACTAAAAACTCGAAGTGAATACTGAAACTCACATCATGTGGCAGCCATACTTGACGTTTCTCGAGCGGGTTCTCTGTTTCGTAGTCAAGGTACTCCTTGGGGGGAGGGCGAGCTTCATTTGCTAACGCATACCTGAACAAAAACAAATACGCCTCTGATACTTAGATGCCTGTTTACTGCGCATTGTTGTTACGAGACAAAACGAAATATGACATAGTCACTATCACTAACTACCATTAATTGTTATCAAGAATAATTTTGTGGTAGCGCTAATCATTAAATTAGAAGAAACCACGTACACAGAGACGCTGAATTTCACTCCTGGACCCAGTTCAAATGCAATGTTACTGAATGCACGAAGTGAGAACGTTTTCTGGAACACTCTGAAACGGAACACTTAGGTGCACAGCTGTCAATAGCAAACATTTCAAGGAAATAATCAGGTTTGCCGTATTCGAACTCGGACGAATGCGACTCATTGTGTACCACGAACTACACCTTAAAGGCACAGCACTAGGATAAATCTGTGGCTTCCTCGTACAATATATGCGGCGCTGTCACGTCGAACAACGGCTTAGATAGGGCGTTATAAAGGCTCGACGATGGTCCCGGTGTATGCGCGAATGAGTTTCAACAGCACTGTAGAGGCTGCACCATTCACAAGGAAACCCATGAGGAAGTTCAAGCAACTTGTCATAGCCCATACTGTGGAAATCAGTTCCGGACAGTTTTGGCTTGATGAAGTCAGCTCTCTGCGCAATTGCAACAACTGAAATCTCGTCCAAATATACCTTCCTTGTCATTCCCGTGATGAAAATCTCGTACAACCTCTACGTTCACTGTTTTCGAGAGCCTTATTCTTCACAAATCGGCGAATTTCCTCGTTTTCTTTCCTTCCTCGATGCACTATTCCCAACTATCACTTTTGGACTTAAAAAGAATACCCCAGAATTATTGTGAACTGCGCCTTCAATCCTTGGAATGCATCAATACTGATCTATAGCTATCTTCAAGAATACAGAATAGTAGTTGGAAAATATATTTGAAACACTTACTGGGTTTCCAAATCTTCAATTGACTTGCTCGCACCGATATTTGGATCCAACTGCCGCTAAAAACCAACTCGGCTTAGAAAACACTTTCAGTGAAAGCAAAAGTGAAGATATGCTGTCGAAAGACCAAAAAACTACTCAGGGGAGAATAGAGCCTCAAATTGAAAAATGGCACTATATCCAGAATTATTATTCTATTTATTTATTTATTTTCGGACGCAGCTAAACTACGTGGTGTTGTATAATGCAAGGTAAAAGAAAAACGAATTCCACTTTGCCTATGAAAGCAACGGTATAATGAATATACGTTCCAACGCGATGGTATCCCCGCCTGTTCCACGGTCCACAATCAAAATAGAGCAGAAACTCTCTCATTTCATTCAGACTCCCAACCCATATCAAAGCTAGGAAAAATAATTCTGAGCAGGCGGATAGGAGGAGGTGGGGAAGGAGGTCAGGGAAAAGCAGCAACGGAATCTTCCCTTTAGACGGTTTTTCTCTATCCGACATCGGTCCAATTAAGGTGTTTTGAGTTCGATATGCACACAGATGCACGAAAACTAGATGGTGTGTAGCAGCACTGCCACCCGACACTGCATATTACGACTACGGTTTGCTCTGGATCAAGATCAGCAAGAACAATTGCTTCTGCACAAAAGATAAGCAGATCGAATCCCGTTCTTGCTCATCGGCTACTACCTTCATGGTGGACTACTTGCTGGAAAAAAATTCGACTAACGTGATAGAAAGCACAGATTTGTACATTGAAAAACTTCCCCAAGTCATCATGTTGAGTCAAACATGCTTTACCAGACTGATTTTATTAGAATAATGAGTACATGGCTTTTCTTTCCACTATAGAAGCCATTGAAACTATACAAGCAACCAGTTAGGCTACCGCTCAGAGTGTGACTTTGCGTAGTGCTGCATCCAAGACTCACTCACCCAGACTCGTGTGTCCTTCTCATACGTCTCATCATCGTCATCATCTTCTTTCCGCAGTAGTACTACTGAAAACTCTCCTGCAGTACGTTTGCCTCTCTGATGACGGAATGAGTACACTCCTTTCCTCATTCGAGTCTATAAAATGAAACAGGATGACGTTACCAGATAACCACTTTACCGCTTCAAAGTATGAAGGAATCTCAGATCATAAATCAACTGTGAACGCTTTCTTTAGCCAGAAAAAGTTATCGAACAGCTTGAGAATTTTCGCAACGCGAGGGATATCTCTTTCCCCTTTCTTTCCATTTAGCCGAACTGCAGCCGCAGTTTGATAAATCGCTATGAACAAAAGTGAGTTAAACCCAAATACCCTTGTAGCACTTTCAAATTTAGAAAAAACACTTGAGGCATGATCACATATGGAACTTTCTTTATCAGAACCCCTCCACTCACAAGATATCCGTGTTTAGTAAAAGTACTCTTCCATGGATAGCTATCAAGAGACTATAAGAGGCAACAACCCACTCATCCTAAAAGATGCCTTTTACCGATACAGTTCAACTTACGAAATAGCCTTCAATTTGTGTAGCCCAGTTCTCTTCAAAGGGATTTGTGTCGTTGGTGATGTAGACGATAGTCTGTTGCCGTTGAGAAACTCCCTGCCTAAAGATACCGCACTGCAGGACAAACTCTAAAATTCTAAAACTAATCGCTTCTGAAAATTATGAATTTATGGAACCGTGGGCCTCCACAGTTAGGATTCATATATTGTAAGAAGTAGAAACTGCTTCGGATCCAGATTCAACCACATAATTGAATAAGAAACAATCCCAACACTCAGTATGAAAGCTGGAGCTGCTTGGGACTGTTTGTTTCTCGAAATCTCAAGAACTTTCCCTTGCCTGGGAGCCACTTTGAACACAAACGCTCGATGCATTCGCAAAACTCTTCCCCTTTTTAATTTCTCAATTATGGAGAGTCCAGCGAGGTGGGGCGAGGCTATTCACCTACCCTTCCCGACTTCCTTTGATGGCGTCTCAACTGATGGGTCGGAAAGTGATATGCTCATACATAAGTCAGCCTAATGAACCATTGACAAGTAAATAAATGAGAAATTCCAAAAGGACATAACCTTACTCCATGAAAATTTTCCTGGAATACCAAAGTAGTGTGGACAAGTCACATTTACGATGTCCTCCAAAACGCTTTTTGAAAGCGGCTTTGATGTCATCTGGAAAGATAGAAGTATCGTAATTGAATATTGAAGCAGTTTTAGGCAAGAAAAGACCGATACAAGCGACAACCCTACCATGACCAATAGAGAGTAACTAATAGTAACCTATATTTTGTAAATTCTAAAAAATTCTCATTATCATTGCCATAAAGCGATAGCGCTGATACCTTCATCGATGAACTCTTTCAATGTACAGACACGGCGTTGATCTTCGCCTGAATCGTGCTCAGATCGCACTTTTAGATCGAACCATTCCACGCAATTCTTTACCGCCCCAGGCATATGTGTATCTGATTTTTCCTGAAAAATAATAACATGATAATGTCATCGGAAGGGAAGATATTTAATGAAGATAAAGTAGATAAGCTTCAGCAAGCCCTTTACTCTAGCAGATCATGAACCTTGCATTGAGCAAAAAGACATCCACTACAACCTTCAAAGCAACATTTAAACCCTGAAATTTTGAAGTGTCTGGGCCTTGATTAATCCCTTTTGTGCGATGCAACCCCGACTTCCGTTCAGAGCCTAGCGGCACAAAAACTGAGACATTGCCCCACTTTTCCAGGTGGCTTCCCCGTTGCGCCATGTTTTCTACAGGGGAAATGATATATCCACCAATCCCTTCTCAATCACTCTACGATGGGATTCTGAAAAAGTACCAAAAAGCATACCGTATTCGCTATAAACAGTCCATATCGATGAGATCGTGATCCCGAACATCCTATCTTCAATAGCTGGGTGAATACAGCCTAAAAATATCCGTATTTAAGCCAAGAAGAATGCACTAGAAATCAATCCTGGCAATTTGAGAAGAGAAAAATGGCAGCAAATCGACTGTTTCAGGGAAGGAAATAGTTTAACCAACTTCCATCCTGGGACTGGAGATCCAAGGTCGTAACATATCTCTTCTATTATTCGAAATCTCTGCCATGCCCATTTCCACAACCTTACTACATGATTTCCCCAATGCCATCCCAACCGACCAGTTTCTTTCTGTGTGATTTTGCTCCCCTACTCTTCCCTGACCTCATGTAAGTTACAGTGCAAGCATACTTTTCCTAAATATCTGGTATATCGAAAAGTTGGCAAAATGAGAATTCTGTCAAAAAGTTAAACCTCCGCTGCTTATGTTGGCCTATGAACCTAGTCTTGACCTACGACAGTATGCTCAAACTGCCATGGAACTTGCTTTGAATGAGTTACATCAACCACATTTTCAATACAAATAAACAAGTAAAGCAATCCACTATCATTGCTTCTGTACCGCCTACCTTTACGGCTCTTTTGAAATCACAGTCGGCTCCTCCTTCGAACATATTGGCACCACCATCTATCCAGAACAAAGTATACTGCAACAGTTCGAATTTGTTCATATGGTATTCTTCGCATAAAATTACTCACCTTCTTGTTGCTTTCCGCTGCAACGTCAAAGTCGAAGTCTTCGTAGTCGTCATCCATAACTCCTACTTTAAACAAGTCGCTTAGTTTATCTTGAAATGCTTTGCCCAACAGTCATTTTTGGACCCCAGAGCGGCGGAAAGGTAGTCATCGTTGAAAATAAGCTGGTGAACGAGTGAGCTAGTGAACATTTGAAAGTAACACTGCATCTCTTTATGTCACTTCTCCATCTCAAAAATTTACAGTAAGCAAACAGGCAGCCCTAATATTGGTGAAGGTACGGCATAGGAGGTACGGTATGGAATGGCACCATCTCGATTTCGTCTCCCGATTATCCAACAACCAAAATATTCGATTAAACCACATCCAAAAATCAAACATTCAACGCACCCAATAAGGTTGCCTTCCCAATTACTTTTCAATCAAGCCAAATGTAAAAATGGCTGTCTACATAAGCAAGGAGAGAATCGTAAGATCGGGACTGATTGACGTCAAAGGGTCTTATCTTTCATGGCTAGGCCCGACCTATGCCGATCGCATGGTCAGTTTCGAGAATTAGCGACGGTTTTTTCCTTCCTATTTTCCACAAATACTCCGGTACAAGCATCAAACGCAGTACTTATGTATGATTACATCATGCATTGCTTTTCAGGAAATAGTAAAATCTTCATATACAATCAAGAAATAATTAAACAAAGTGTAATAACTATTACAATGTTAACGATCGCGATCGTTTGAAATAGGCAGTTTATACTACTGTGCAAGACGCTTAACCTAATCAATAATGTCACAACCTCGCGACCACTCGCGACCATTTAAGGCTCAAAATTGATAAAACTCGTAAACCCGCATCATATCTGAATAAAAAAAACATGCGAAGAGAACATAAACAACGTTACTCTCATCCTCAGTAGAAGTAAACAACTTCAGAAACTTCAGATATAATTCACACCTAATCATATAATTAGTTATAGATACGTATGATTATTTACTTCACAGGATTCAATTTAGTTATTAATTACAATTAATTACAAATTGATACTTATAAAATGAAGATAAAACTATGTAACAAAATGAAAAATCGGAAAGTATCATTCTATTTTAAGCATTGGAGCAAATATAAAGGCGAGATCGACTTTGCTGTATGCGTTCTTATCCAAGTATCGAGTGATTAGTGCAGATAGTTCATTGTAAAGCGACATCACGGCAGGGAAATTGGGCTTAGATTGGAGAATTCCTGAAAAACCTCAATTCCATAAAAGTCATTGATAGTGGAAACATACTACTATTCCTATCATCATCTGATCAATGTTATTCTATTGAAATTGTTAAAATCTAGAAAAAGTTTGGAATTTCATACGAGTTCACGCTAAAGAACTTACTTCTCTGTTCTGGTTTCAATTCCTCTAATGCTGTATGCACATCAACCACCTGCTTCAAAAACATCTGCTGGTCGAATAGATCTTTTGCTGAGTACTGGAATATTTTTCAATTAGGAATGACTTTTTATTAAAATCATATTGTTAGAGGCCCTTCCACCCTTCCCTTTGCTTCGCCATTAATTAAGCCCGTACCGGAGAAGCGGATACATTAACACAACAGAAAATATGAGTGTGGGCAATAAGCGGGTGGAAGTATAGTGACATTATCGCTACCTAGCCAAATCGCGTCACCCATCCCTTTTGGAGTGGTTTTGCTCTAATATAAACAACGCTCTGACATAAAGAACAACCAGAAACTGGCAAAAAGAAAATACCTCTTTCCGCAACACTCCTCCTGAGCATTTCGGACATTCAAGCCCTTCACGGCTCCATCTCAGTAAATGGGTCCTTGTACTGAACTCACATACTGGGTCATCACACCTACAAAATCAACAACTTCCACACAAATTCCTCACAAAAAACATTAAAAAGAAACATACTTGAATGGAGCCATCAGATGTTTCATAACATAGTCTCTTAACGTAAGACTGAGTCTATTACATATGTAGGCAGAATACTGCGACAATTCCACATTGCACTTTTCACATGTATCCAGCGAGAGGCGTAACCCTGACTCCTGAAAATGAACTCTTTATAATAAAAACAAGTCTATAAGTTAGGGGTTGGTTATTCAACAACCAGATGGCTAGGAATAGCAGTGGCCCAACCCTATAAGGAATTACCAATGGGACAAGGTACTTGACGACCTTCAAATGAGATGAATAACTGTGCTACAATGCTACCAAGCCCGGTCAACTGCTCGGCAAGAGGTCAAGTTTGAAATTAATTCCTGTCCCATCTGAAGAAAAGATCTAAAACCGAATGGCTCATTTTGGCGATATGAGTATATAGATCCTCCTCACTTCATTTTCGATAGCTTTCCTAATATTGAGCACATTTCCGCATCCTTGGCCTGGGCATACAAACGAGAGCGATTCACAGTGATCATATGTGACCGGTCCATTCCATGCCCACTCGTCTTCAACAGCAGCATTATCTGATGCACGCGCAGCTGCTGAGCGACGATAAGACGACGCATCCATGCCTAAAACAAAAAACCCTCTAATCGTTACTATGGGAAATGCAGGACCACAGCATTCACGGGATATTCTACACTCTGCAAAGAGAAAAAAGATAAGTAATTACCCAGTGCTTCTGCGAGTCGTACGGCATCAGTTTCCTCGATTGGTGTACACAACCGTGACACAACTGGATGGATCTGTTGGGCTAGGTAGTAATGCAAGTCTGGAATGAAAAGCTTTAGCCCAGTACATGAGATGTATGACTCGTTCCCATTTCGTAGACTCATGCACATTCTAACACCGAAACTCGGTTTCCCAATAAAACTAACCAATCTTCAAATCAGGGTTCTGTTCCAGCTCTGTTCGGTGATACGCTCTTTGCATGGCCGAGTTGGTGGTGCCATCCTTAATGAGTGGTAATAAGCGAAAACTCGACAAGATTAGCCAAAAAACCTAATTTACTGTTTTAGATATATTGCAAGATAATTATGATACTTCCCACAGGATTCACTCAGACTGAAAAATCATTTTACTCACTTCACATATGATGTATTCGACGATGTCTCCATGCCGTAGAGAGAATTTACCGGTCTCATTCAGCCTACATGCAACTGCTGCATGGGGTTGTGATTTCAGGTCATGGTAATCTTTGGGATTGCGAGTGAGTTGCTAGAAAAGGCAATCACTTGTAATTGTTCCTCGAAACTTCTGCAGTAATCATTGAAAGACCATAGAATTACCTTGCTAATCTCGAACAGCTTCACATCGACACCTTTCTCTAGCTTGGCTCGGAGACGTTGCAATGATTCATGGATCTCTGCTACCAAATCATCTCGCGAAAGGTTAGGATCGAGAATCAGATCAACCACAGCGCTGAAGCAGATGTTATGACGCAACCACCAGTATGCACAACAAAACGAGGAACTCACTTTCCAGCTTCCTTTGCCAGTTGGGACCAGTCTCTCCGCACAATGTCCAGACCTTTCAATTCTTTCTTGGTATCAAGTTCATTGTCTGGATTTACAGTGAGTGCAGCATACTTCTTCTTTTTCAATAGCAACATGCGTTTGAAGACCCCGTCAAGCTCAAGCTCTAACAGGCGATGACACTGATTGACTTGGCGTTTGATCTGGAAACAGAATCACTTCAAGTTAAGGAGTTAGAAGTGTAGTCGGCAGTCAAAAAGTATTTCAGGCAAAGCAAAAAGCAGTGACACGAAGCAGAAGGTATACACGATTAATCTAATGCTCTATTTGAATGAGACAAAACTGTACAACCCTAACTCGTCCTGGACCCCTTAAAGACTTGGGCAGTCCGCTTACTTTGCAGAAGTAGTGGGTGAGTTGCACCAACAGCATCAACAGTGCCCTGTGCATTACCCTTCAAATCAATCCAAGTCCCGCCGCTCAACGAATATCAATGCATGGCGCACCGCAACTGTACCTCATACATGCATAGTGAACGTCCCCGCAACTCCAGTAAATTTCACAAAGCAGCCATTATGAACAAGTGGCATGACAGATTAATTGTATATGATTACGGCATATGACACAATTATGAAAGGATATCGAGTAAATGGTGCACCCCAAACCCGTTCGATCAGCTCTGAGTGCGATTGCATGCATTACAATAACAAAGTTTGCGAGATAGAAGCGAACGGCTGATTCGCCGAAAAAGATTGGTGATTCAAAATTTCAATTCTATGCAAAAGCTGCAGAAGAAATGTAAAAGACCTACCTCGAAGCCCAGCTTCTTCGCCTGTTTCAAGTCATTGCTGTTGGTGTTGATCATAATAGAATCTGTATCACCGTAGATGACTGAGTATCCAAGCTTCTCCACAAGATCTTTCGTGTGCATAAGGATCTGAAAATAGCACAGCTCATACCATTCCTATTCTCCAAATAAAGGAACGCTCGCACAAACCTCTCTTCCTTTTGATGTGATGAGCGCCGCAAGAGGTTTTGCATAGAAACGAGACTGTTGGAAACCCAAACATCCATACATACTGTTCGCAGTCAATTTCAAAGCCATTTGGCGGATGTCGTACTGAAATCACACTTCTAGAAAAATTTCCAAAAAAAACCCTACACGAGCTTACCTGCTTTCGCTTTGACTCCGATGCTTCGCCCTTCATGAGCTTTTTCACTTCTCTTCTTCTTTCAACAAGGCCTCGAATCTCACACGGAAGTATACCTTCGGATAAAGTGGACGATGGGACTTCAGGGAGTTCATCGCCATCCTAAAAATTAGATATGGGTGATTCTGTTGAAATGACGTCTATGAATTGAGATCATAACTAGGAAGTCTAGTCAAATCTATTTTGATAAGAGTAGTCTGCCTTTCTCCAACCATGCTACGCTTTCAAATCAAGAATAATCTTCACATTCAACCCTTTCTATTGCTTCTTTTACCTTTTTCTTCCTACTTTCGATAAGTCACTTAAATTGAAACGACGGCGTGAATAATCTGTATCCGAACAGCACCTAAGCGGAGATCTAGATGGCATTCCGAACTTACCTTGACATGGGGAACAGTAGTGAAGCAAATGTTGTACTCTTGTATGATACTAGGATACAGTGAGTTGAAATCGAGCAAGAGTATGAGGGTATCGTAGAGACCTGAAGCGAAAACTTTGTGGTAGGCAATATATTATTGTTAAGAATAAATAGTCTCATAGGATAGAGCTTGAAAAGGTATACTTTAGATACCAAAAGCGAATAACTTACCTTTCTTAGGTTCCAACACTAAGCCACCGGAGTACTGTGCTTTATTCTTTGACTTATCTTCCTTATCGTCCTTATCCGCCTCCTCATTATTGGCTCCGTCTAGCAGTTCCACTTCTTTCTCTTGTTTTCCTTGATCAATGAGTGTTTGAAAGCCACATAATAATAAAAGCATTGGTTCATAAATGAGTACCTCTTCTGAAGTTTGGCGTATACTTATTTGGTGCTATATAATTTGCTTTATTAAAAGCATGTAGCAACAGGAACTCATTACGTTCTGCTCGACCACCCATTAGCGTGCGAGACTAAAAAATTGAGTATCATAAAGTTAAAAGTAAGCCCTGAAGGATCAAACCCTGCAATTTTGAAAATACCTAAGCACAAATTTGAAAAAAGTGCAGTGCTATCATAAATTCCGAAGAAAAATGTCAAATAGAAGGAAATAAAACCGAATTTAACATACTGCGACGCCGCCAACAATATTTGTAATCTGCACAGCCAGTGGGAGAGCATTAAGTTGAGCAATTACACGCAGAGAGAACCATGGATCCATCCAACTCCATTGAATGAGGTTGAGCAGCTGCTGCGACGAACTGTATAATGGAGCAAGTAATGCAAATTTAAACGCAGGTCCGCAAGTTTCGGAAGACATCATCAACATACCTGAATTTTGCGCTCACTTCACTCGCATATATGTTTTCTCTTTGGTCTCCCAACAACTGGGCGACCAGCTCTGAGAGGTCGTAACTACGTGACCGCACCAGTTCCATGGCAGAAAGCCTGAAAATAACGGAATTATGCTAGATTGACTGCTGTATAATTGGTCTCTAAGTCTAAAATGAATTCACCTCGAATCCACCAACAATCTTCCAGCTGTCAGCTCCCATTGCCCAGCCTTGTTATGGGCCACTTTTCCCACATTTATTGTTCGTTTCAAACGGCTGGTTCTCGACCAGTTGGCAACCTTGAGCTTATCCATACGCGATACAAGTAATGCAATCGATGCAGAGAGATCATGTCCCTGAAAACATAGATTGAAAAAATTTAAGGCGAGTTCAGGCTCGAGCCACGGCTCCTCACGTTTGATTGCGAACTCACCACAATCACATCTGGTTCATACTTTTGCATTTTAGCAAGGAATAGAGATAACAGAGCTTTCTCATTTCCAGCAGTCATGACGATATCCGACAGGCCACGTCTGTTCAACTGTTCCTTTATATCGAAGGGTAGCACGCCACCGCATGGTTTGGTTACCACTAGAAATGGCGGAAAATGGAAAAACGACCAAGAATGTCAAAACATCACACACGGTTGGAAACGAGCTTGTCAAACACTCACTGCATAATCGTTGCAGATCCTTCTGATCGGTGCTTGGATTACTCAAACTGCAAGTTGGATTGTACAGCGTTGATATCATACATATCTGCAACATTCGAACCAATATGTTTGAGCTATTGCCTGAATTCTACAATAGACTGACCGCTGACTTGAATGGGAGACAAAGATTTAACTTAAAACACTGCTGGGAACATTTCGAAACGCGATACCTCATTTTCTTTCTTCTCATTCAGCGTCGTGAGCATGCTCAAGACAAGAGTTCGAACGGGCGGAGCAGGAACTGTTACCGAAGTATTGTACGTAAGATTACGCATACGCTCCATGTCCACGCTGAATTCGTAATCGCAATAGGATAGTTTTGC